CAAGATGTATAGTTCAGCAAAACAGATAAGGAAGTGATTCTGACAAGAATTGTATTTCCTTCATGTGATCTTGAATTCATTTTCCTCAGTCTTGTACAAGACATGGGAAAAAAATTAAGAGTGTGAGCAAAAATTTCAATTCTTGATTCTGATGACTTTAGAAGTAGCTCAAGCTTTCCACATTATTCACCAACAGCAACCTTCATTCATTTCATTTGGAATGACCCAGTAGCATCTCAATGGTTGACAGAAGCCTGTGGTAGATAATGCTAGAGATCAATTGATGTTAGGTTTTTCCAATGATTCTGGTATCAATATTTTCTTATATTAGCAGCTGATGTGGCTGATATTTCTGCATTAAATGTGAAGAAAACAAAGTCATCTTGATTTTCTCATCAGTGGAGCTGGATTTATTTCAATTGTTCCTTTATATAGAGAAACATGGCCATTTGACCTGAGCCTGGATGGTCTTTTGTCACTTGAATATTCCTTCACTTGGAACAGACATGCATGGTGGATGTAAGAACTCCCTAGCAACAATCCCAAGGGCAGGATATCTGCACTCCTTGAGCATTTTACATCTTACTCACATCCTCCTCCTTCTTGCACGTATGGACACTTCCTACACTCTGAAGTTCCCTCCCTTCACCTTGGCTTCATCATCCAGCGAAGTCACACGTCCCATGCAGCACTTTCCCTACCCTGTTTCCATATTGACCAGGAGCATTAAAAATATAACCACTAAACTTCAAAACAGTCATAGCAGCATTTTCAGGATTCCTGAAATTGTTCATCTTCTGTCCACACAAGGTTGCATTCATATGTCGTTTTATCAAGGTAGCCAAAGAGTGTCTTCATGACTGCACTTGCAGGCCTGTGAGTGAAAAACGGGAATGGGATTGGTTGAAGCAAAGGGGGTCCTAGGGATCCACTGGGTGAATTGGGTTTTGAGTTTATTTTTCGCATCATGCCCATTGAAAGAACAGCATACTTGGCTGCACAAAGAGTACAATCAATGACAACAAATACAAGGGAGAGATAACTTAGTGTTACACTTTATACGTAATGAACTGTGACCTAGGGATCATGTTTATCACTTGTTCTAATCACTTACACCACTTATTCCTAGGGCACATTCCAAGTTATTCCAGAGAAGTCAGAGTAGGAGTAGAGGTTAAGAAGTGGCACAAGATTTGATATATTCTGAGAAAGAAGGTTTAGAGAGAGGGTGAATAGCTTGTGAGACTTTATTATAAAATGCTAAGCCCCATGTTAGCACATGTTTCTTTTATTTAAGTAATGATGATGAGTGTGCTATGTGTATGTCTTGCACCAAGTGTTGGGTGAGTCTATTTTCATGTGAAAGAAGAATTTGCCAGACAACTTGCATTGATGAATAATATTTTAAGATGCAATAAAGGGCTATGGATGGAAAAGTGATTTTTTGAAAATGTTGAAAAAAGAATTTGCAGGGAGGTGGAGGTTTTAGGTGGGCAATGGTGCATATTGCCTGTTTTTGAAGGACCAAAATGCACAATACATTACCAGCTGTGCTTGGTCCCCAGACTAGGATTCCTTCAAAAAGTCGTGACTGGAAAAGAGGATGATATATTATTAAGAGATCTTGCCAAGACCAAAGAGGAGAAAGTTTGTACAATAGGCTAATAGAGGGTGCCCTGTTTAAAAGTGGACCTAGTATCATACCATCTACAATGCATGCTCATTCACTTCCAATATCCTTTGCTGCTGCTAACAAGTGCTGAGCAGGTCCACTTTTAAAGGGCCACCCTGTATTAACTTAAAGAGATTTACAGACATGATTTAGATGGTCTGCCCATTGGAGGCCTAAATCTGGGAATTCACCAAGAATCATTGGGTGAGTCAGGGCAACAAATAAGTGTGGAACAAATGAGAGAGATGCAGGACAGAGCCTTGAGGGACTACAGAGTTTATCGAGTAGGGCTCTGACAGGTGGGTATGCCAACAATGGTTTAGATATTGGACAGTTGTGGGGGGTGATTGGAGAGATAGGACAACCAAGCCAGAGGAATACCTCTGACTCCAAATTTTTTCAACTTGAGGAGGACTTGGTTGTTAATGTTATCAAGAGCTTTACTAATACTTTTTTTTAATACAATGAGGTTCTCACCAGTGTCAAGAGAGTTGATGGTGCCATCTAAAAAGTCTAAAATTGCAAATTGAGTATTTAATTATATCCTAATTAGGACTTTGAGAAACTGTATTGTATTTAGATAGGCATGCAGACATGAATTCATTAACTTCTCTGATATTTTGACAAACAAAGAGATGGTTGTGATTGATGGTAGCCTCTAATTGGATGTGTCAAAATGTGACCCTTATGAAGTGAAATTAACCCTTTAGCAGTGTCCCAAGTATGTACTTGTCCTGCAATTGCCCACTTACCAGCATTACCCTGAATATGTACTCATCTTAATGTCTGCACTTAGAGAACATTTTTCTGATTGAAGTGTGTATTGTAGGCAAAATGTATTGATGGAAAACTTTTTAGTACTGCCTATGCTTTAGGCTGTGGTTAGGTGTTATTTCCTCTCTAATATTATCCTAGCATTCATGTTTTCATCATCCTTGGAAGTAGCAAGCATGGTATCTCAAGAGTTAAGTAGTTGAATTGTTTGCCTTCATGTGACATGAGTCATGACCACTTTTTCCCATGATTAATTTCTGAAGATAAATCCTGGAAATAAGACATCACAAGATACACCCTTCATCTTTGCCTTAAATAGGAGTAAAGTGGTGGTTAGATATATCTTTAAATGAAGCAGACATTTGTTTCTGAAATAGACTCACCAATATTGTGTTCTTCAAATGTAAACAAATCACAAGAAGAAGCTAAATCCTTTTTTTTTTTTGCCTCAGAAGTGCTGCAAGAAAATAATAATTAGCAGCAAAAGGTCAATGCTTAATATATTAATTCCTGTTCATGTGGATATTCAGGAAGTAGAGTGGATCTGATGACCAAATGTTTTCTGAAAATGTAACATCAGTCACAGTGGAATGACCTGATAGTGCAAAAGGAACTTGAATAAGACACTATTACAGTCTTCTATGGAATATAATGTCAGTACATAACTACTTGAGTTACTATTTACAAGAAAGAAAACTTTTTTGGGGGTTAGGTGTTTGCATAAGGAGCATCCCTACCCAGAGCAAGCCTTCAGGTTCCTTGGTACTCCCAAAATTGACTATCTACAGGGTATGGAAAAAAAAAACTCAATGACTTTGAGTGTATCTAAGGATTTCTTAAGTCATAATTCACTAAATTTGCTGAGGATGTAACATGTCTTCATTTATTTGAAAGTCAACAAGGCTGCCAAATCCATGAATTTAAATTGAAATTATGAGTGATGTTCTATGACAAAATGGACAATTCCTTCAAAAAGTGAAGGAAATTTCTGAATGTATTATGTGAAAACTCTTTGCATCGATACTCATTGGTTCATCAGCTATTCCCTGGGAATAAGTTCATGAAAGCCATCTGCATGAGACACCAACCCAAAGAATGAATGAAACGGTGGAGTTCAATAATGTCTCAATGACAAGGAAGGACAGTGCCTGGCAGCTGTCCTTCCCACTATCAGTAGGAGATCATTTCCATTTTCAGTGTCTAACTACTTTTCAATTATTGCTGATGGTATTGTTTCAGCTCAATAAATTCTGATGAAATTTTGAGAATCAGTTGGAAACATGCTCATGTATGCATGGCAAATGTTTCATGAAAATAGATCCAGTGTGAGTGGAGATATTTGGGTCAAAAGTCATTGGTCTTTTTTTGCCACACCCTGTCTATTTATTTATGTATTTCCAATATTGTATTCTATTACTCCCCTTTCATTTGCATGTCTTGTGTTGGTATTGGAAGGTCATTTGACTTTTATTGACCATTCTTTTTTATTGTCAAAATTAGATAATATCATCATGCTTGAAACTTTAGTAATTTATTTTCCTGCACTAATGCCATGGTGCCAGATCCATTTTAAAGTGTACATTCATGCAACCCACCAATTCTAAATTAGTGCAAACTTGTAACTTTTTTACAGTCCCCCATCTCAAATAACTTGCACAAAAGCCTAATGTCCATTTTGGACATCACAACGTTCAGGAAGTGGTGGCAAGCTTAATATTAGTGATGCAGAAGGGAATGTGGTTTCTCTAAGCATAGAGTGGCTGATGAAGAAGTACTACTTTTGCTTAAAAAAAAAAAAAAAAAAAACTCTTGCAAAACTTCCATAGAGGCAATATGTAGACTTATTTCTTGAGTCAGACAGGAGGAACTGCAGTTTGCAAAGTCATGATGCTCTTGCTATTTCTCTGATCTGCCTGATTCCATTTTATGAAAGGAAAAACAATGATTATCCTTTCTGTATTTTATTAAATGCTTCTTTATTAAACCTAGTCCCTTTCTTTGGCTGAAGTTCAGAAGTTTTGCAGATCAGATGCTGACCTCATTAGCTTACAATGCAATTAGCTGTAGCAATGCAAGAGTGCCTTTTTTTAGTTTTGGATTATTTAGAGAAAAAAAGAGCATCAGAGGTGTCTCACCGATGTTTCTCAGTGAATGAAGCAGTAGACAAGTAGCTGTGACATTAGGGCAGTGGTGTAGCAAGGGGGGGGGGGCTGGGGGACTTCAGCCCCCCAAGTTTGGTTCAAGCCCTCAACTCTGGTCTAAAAAAAAATGCATCCTCCTCCTCCCGAGGAGAAGTAAGTCCCCTCACCGTTCTGCTTAGCCCCCCATTGGCGAAATCCTGACTATGCTACTGCATTAGAGAACATGCTTCATTTTCAGATGGCAGAGGGATGCAATTTCCCTTTTAATGAAAGAGGGGTGAGGCATTATGAAGAGGTCATATAGAATTTGCCAGGCCGTTTAGAAAGCTCAGGACCAGTGGTCTGTGATATGCTTAGTTAATTGTTCATAATCCTTCGGTCACATCTACATGAGATGTTTTCATGATTTGCAGGTCCTGCAGCAAGACCAAAAGTAGTTGGTCCTCACCTACACCTTAAGATGACAATTAATCTTCAGAAGGCTGTCGAACTAGGACCCCAGTTCCACCAAGTAAGACTTCTCTAATATAGGGTGGACCAAAGAAAAGCTCCACTTGTTCATTCAGCTGTCAAAATTTATCAAATTATGTCCCTGAATTTTGTCCGGTATTTAGCATGGCTAAACTAAAACCGAACACGCTTTGTTTCGTGAAAATAGGTTCCGAAGTTGTAGCAGTGATGATCTTATGGCAAGAGGTGAAAAACCGCTGCTACGTGATCAAGAGATCTCTGGTTATTACTATTCATCCGCATGTTTTAATAATTTAAAACATTGAAAGAACACTTAAAAATGAACAAAATGGAAAGGTACACTTGAAAACAGCAAAGTAATACGAAGCTACTATATTACGTTGCATTAGCGAAAGCTATGTTCAATATTTCTTCCACTTTCTTCAAACACAGCAATCAGCCTGTTTCGCCTTTGCCCGATTGACTTCTGACTGACTCAAGTCGTCCGTCCCAGTAAGCGATGACTGGCGTACGAAGCTCCTGAAAAATCTGGATTTTTATGCAATACACCATCTCCTGTAATAATCACCATCCCCATACACCAGCAGTTCTCAAACTGTGTGGCGCAACCCCTAGGGGGACTGCGACAGGTTATGGGAGTATTGGTTTTTGCTTTTTACTCTATTACAAAATGCAATTTCACAAGCTGTCTTATATTGAATTTTTTTTTATTTTACTGGAAAACATTCACGTTCCCTTTAAGTTTTTCTGACTTTCTCCAATAGAACAAGACTAAGTGAAAGCAATTTCCAATGGCAGACTTTTAAATTTCGTTAATTTTCAATGGGTGTTAATTTCCATCCGTGACGACCTACGATTCGAATGAAGACGACAAATAGATCATGCGTCTCTGGGTTGTAACTTCGCTAAATGAATTTGGCGTGGGTGCACTCGTTCTGTCTAGATAAATACTTGAAGAGACTGAAAGACGCAAAAGAGCTGGGTTCCCCGGGCAGAGCTAAATTTCCGAAGACATTTATTGCCAAGTCTTTGAAAGTTCTCCTCCCATATACCTCATCTTAACAGTGCAAAAATTCAGTGGCGTTTGGATGTTGAAAATAAGTTTTGCGCCGTTGTTGCTTACCAGATTTGATCATTAGTGGGCCCAGAAGCGTGTGGGCGTCGCTGTCATTAAATTAGATGAATGATCATTCGATTCGTAGCTGTGACCTGGTCCCTGAACCATTGCACGTTGCAATCCGTTTTCAGTTTTTTTTCTTCAATCATTTATGAAAACAACATCTGTGGGTAGGCTCAATGTCTTGGTACTCTTCTCGGAGGGAAAGGGGGGCGCGACGTTCCAGGGTCGCTAGGGGAGGCGCAGTAAAAAAAAGTTTGCGAACCGCTGCCACACATAGTAATACGCTGGAGTCAATATAGGGCTTTTTGGAGGCCATTCATGAGGTTCGATGAAGTTAGGATACTGCTCACAAAGAAAGTTCAGGATGTGTTTCGAACGGTGGGATGGCGCACCGTCTTGCTGAAAGGTGTACACGTCAATCTTCTCTTCAATGTCAGACTGCACTTTGTCGAGATATTTTTGCAGGGGTACTCTTAGTCGACCTTAGCTCCTTTCTCAACGAAAATCACGCTTGTCTTTCGTAGTACAGACTCGCCTACCGATATAGTCGAGTCACTGGGATTTTGGCGAGTTGGTCGGCGAATTTAACAGGTCACCCCATTAGAGGTAATAAAATTTCAGCTAGCTGACAGTTCCCTTCCCTAATCTACAGCTTAGAATAATAGGGTTACCACAGCAGTTTTTCTTCACAAGGACAGCAAGAATAGTTAATAAAAAATGTAATGCCATTTTTTACGCATCCTCTGATGACTCCGAAGAGGATTCACCAGGAAGAATAACGAGCCTGTCTGTCTTCCTTTCGACATATTTGTTGAACTCCATGTACTGCTGAAGAGAAGACTCGTGGGATTGTCAGAATGTCATGATTAGATAGACATAAGCGTCTTTGACGGTAGGAGTTAATCCGCCGACAAAGGCCAGGGAGACCCTAAATGACTCATTTCTTCTCCTGCTGCCCATATTCCCAGTGACTCGACTGTGCCATTATGGACGGGCTGAAGTGCCTTTGTCTATTTCAGCTGACGGTTCGGAGGAACGAGGTTCTTGCTGGGAACATCTGCGTAGTCCCTATCGTTCTGGCTGTTGTTTGGAGTTCTACTGTAAACTGCTTTTCGTCCGTGAACCAGATCTGGTCTATGGATGCTTTTGTGTGGAAGCGTAGTTCAAGCAAGTAGTAGCGTTCGATTCTCTTTGCCTTGGCGCTTAGTGACAACTGCCTGCCTGTCCTTAGCATGGAGGTTTTGAAGAACTTCAGGTTTTTGGCAATGCGACGGAGAGAGCTGCGGGAAATTCGCGTTTGTCGGGGTATTTCCCTAGCGCCGAGACTGCTTCCAGGATCGTCATCTTGGCTGGAGATCAGCTCCAGAACGTGCTGCACATTTCCTGGAGACCTTGCAAACAGCGTTTTTTCCACTGCCAGATTTACAGTACCACTTTCTCGAAAAACGTTCCAGCAGCTTGCTCGCTGTTCTCACGTTCCACATGCGATTTGGATATTCGTTCACTATCTTTCTGGCCCCATTCCTCCTCTCCAGATGCAGGACTTACATAACCACCTTTCATCTGCACTTAACTTGCCCATCGAAGCACCTCTACCTTTTCATGCGGAAAGGATAGTCGACCACACAATCATGCACGTTAAAAGTCACGTAGCACACTGAAGAAGAAATGCCATGTGGCTGGAAACAAAAACGCCGGAGATTCAACAACGCTAGCCGCCACGTAAGCGCCTACAGAAGCGACTAGGTAGCCCCGGTTCGTGCAGCTGCAGTTTTTCATCTCTCGCCGTGAAATCGTCATTGTGGAAAAACTTCTGAACCGATTTTCACATAACAAAGAGCGTTTGATCATAGTTTGGCCTTGCTAAACAATTGCATAGGCTTCAGGAGCCGAACTTAATTAGCGGAATGAAAACGTAGAACTTATTGGCCTACCCTGTCGATTTATGCCTAGTAGGTGATTTAATATCAACCCTAGTATGGTGCACCACAGGGCCGGCCCTAGCTATTTCGGCGCCTTGTGCAAAGGACTCCCAAATGCCCCCTCCCAGAAGGGAGAAGGGTCAATCCCTAGCTTTCAAAATGACGCCGAAACGGGAAGTATTTCCTCTTTCTAAAGTAAAGCTGAGGGTGGCTTCCGGATTATTGTTTCAAATATTCATCCAAGTTTTGGCGCCCCTGGTGAATTTGCTCCTTGTGCGGGGGCACATGTCTGAGGTCGGCCCTGGTGCACCATGAATCTACAAGTCAAAATGAAGCCACAAAGCTAAAAGTAATCATTCTTTATATTGATCATATGCTGACTAGTGAGCATAGGCACACCTGAATGGCAAAACTTGAATGGTAACTGTTCTTTCAAACCACATAGTTTGCCTTTCTAGTGAGTCTGCATCCACTTATTCACACATACTTGATTCAGAGAAACATCAGTTTTTACATTTTTATTTTGTGTTGATTTGCTTAAGCTCAGGTGTGGGATGTAAAGTCAAAAGGTACACAACATAACTGGACAGAATATACACCAACCAGAGCAAGAAGGAAAGAATCATGCACTTTCAGAATGGATTTTGATGCTACTTGCTATCCTTGTACAATGCCCTAAATGTTGTAAAAGTTGACAATACTTGGTTAATGCAATTTCTGTTCAGTCTGAGAATACAGTAGGATTGTAACAATCTTCAGATCAGTTATTGGAGATCAGCTGGCCTGAGCAATTTTTGTAATACCAGTTTTGGCTGGGTTTTTTTATTTTTATAAATATTTTTCCAACATGAAATCATCACCTTCCCTGTATACAAAAAATGTCTTGTAAACTTCTGTGATTTTGCTATTTTGAACTGATATTTGACATTGATCCAGGGGGAATGAGGAAGTTAGCATTTGCAATTGAATGCCCTCTCAAGTGAAGGGAGGGATTATGGCTTGAATATCTGTGTGTCTAATAATGCAATTAAATGTCATCAAAGATTAAAATGACACTGTAGTTGTTTTATTTAAGGATAAGTAATTTTGCCTCATCCTGTATCAGTAACTGGCAAATAAGTGAAATGTAATATTGGCACAGCCATAGAATCAGCAAATACCTCATGAATGATCCCCATCATGTACCTTGATAGCATAAGCTTCTGTGGCTTCTTCAGAATGGATTTCCCAATAGATGATGAGGTATCATGTTAAGAGAGTCTGTTTTGTCAATCCAGAGACCAACAGTTACTGGAAGTCAAAAGTAGCATTAAATCCATATTCAAGATGACCTGGTCCACTCTGTCATAGCCAAGTCAAGGAATTTAGCATACATGTTTCCTTCTCTTGTGGAGTGCCCAGATCATGGTTGGTGCATGTTAGATTCAGAGAAATGTATACTAGCCAAGTTCCTTAGTTTTTCCCTGAATTGCTCTTCCAATATGTACCAAGTCTTAGAGAGCATCCTTATTTTACTGGCTCATGATCAAATACTTCGTCTATGTCTGCTTCTCCTATAGCTAGTGCTAGAAACTGTGCAGGAGATGGTTGGTATGAAGCCTCCAAACTACACTTCCTATGCCAAAACAATGAGCATCTTGGAGTTCTATGACCTCAAATCCTCCATCTCCAAGTCTATCAATGCCACACTTCCTCACATGACCCTATGTGGATACTCGGTTGGAATCTTGACTCCCAACTACTGCATTTTTTTCTTTGCATCATTCTGTCTAGAATAGCAAGTACATGTACATCTAGACCTAATTTGAGCAGGCTCTCACCTTGTCCTTCTATAGGTAGACCCTTGTACTACTGATCCAGGGTCTTTCCTGGGCTTTGTTAATTAATGTTTAAAACACTTGTCTTCTGTGTCAGTTCATTTTTAGGGTGTTCAAATCCTCATTGCATTGTAATACATATTTTCAAAAAGAGGTTGAAGAAGCTTACCTTTGCAATTCTTTATCAGATTCCTTAGAATATCTGCTATTTAACTAGGAATGGGCTATTGATTAGTCAATTCAAGCCCCATTAAATGACCCATTGATTGACCAGTCAGTGTTGTCCTTTATGGTCAATAAGGCTTACTCTGGCTTGGTTTTTCCCTCCACTGTTTTTCATTCAATTTGGATGTCATGGCTCAAAATTTGCAACCATCTGCACCATTCTCCTTTGAGGTTGACTTTGAGGTGTACCTGTGAAAGGTGTCCCTCACATTGTACTTTGTGCAGACAAGGTAGCATGAGGTCAATTGCAACAGTAGGCAGCAAATAGGCACACTATGTTGTAATGGTATACCACTATACCATTGCACATGTACAAGGTGATAGTCATCATGGGGTTCTGTAAAACACTGCTGCTACTTAGAATACCTCTTCTTTTACTGATTTTGAATCTGGGATGCCTGGTACCAATAACTGAAACCTCCATATTCATACCATTTGAATTGTGCTGTTTAGGATTTTTTAAAATGGGTTTCCATACTGAATAATTTTTTGGTTTCTTGTTTTTCTTCCAAAGTCCTGTTATTTACACCTGCTCATGCACCTAGGCTAATCATAGCTTGTCTCCTTAACCCCTTGCCATCATTTGACATCAAACACTATCATGGCAGTTTCCTTTGAACCTACAATTTAACATTTATTTTAAGCATTTTATTATTGTGATAGAGACATCAAGTTTGGTTTGAATCGAGTGGCAAGGTTTGTACATTACCCCTGTATGGTAGCCAAGCAGCACTGGTTCAAATTAGCATCAGTTAAAGCATTAAGGCTTGTAAAACAACAAATATTCAGTGAAAAAATATGATGCCAATGGGTTAATGAGTAAGTTTGCATCCATGGCTTTGGTTAATTGCTAAACTTCATCTAAGTTATTATATCATCAATTGGTGTATTTATTTTCTTGCAGGAAAATCAATTACAGCAGCTCTTCCCCTTGGACAGCCTTAAGAATGCTTTCAGCAGTGCCATTCAGGAATTGCATCCACAATTAGAGGAATTCTTCCAGAAGAAAAAAACAAAAGAGCTGTCATCTAGTTCAGTTGAAGGCTTTGACTGGATGGCCAAGGTAATAAGGCATGCTGATTGGATGATGTCACCTTTCTGATGTTGATGTTGAAGTGACTTTTATCACAAATGTCTCATCCTTTGTGACCACCTTTCAGAAGGGGTTACAGAAGATTGTGACTTTGATGTCTCTTTTAGAATGGGTTATATAGGACTGGCAGAATGAGATTTCTTCAGGGCCAGCTCATGAACTCATGAAAAATTTGTGCAAAGGAACTTTTCCTACTTTCGATGAGATACCTATTCTCAAAATCAGTTTTATCAAGTAACCTTCTTTAAGCACCTTCTTTAATAACCTAGACAAGCCTGCACTTCACCATCCATAATTGGGGATTGCTTTCAGCTGTCTGCAAGCACAATAGCCATTATCTGTATGATGGGCTTTTATTACAGTCTCACCTTTAGTTGAGAAATTAGACTTGTCTACAAGCACAATTCTGAAGTGTTTTCACCAAAATATTCAGCTACAAACAACCCACTTGCGTTTCTATTCTAACAATAAGATGCAAGAACTATCTATCAGCAGAAATTAAATTGAAGTTAATGGCCTTTGATTCACCCATCAATAAGGTTGCATCTGCTGCCCTCAATCTGCTGGAGCTTATATCCATTGGGAACACAATTCTGTGTTTGGTGATCTTGATCCAACTGACATCACAATGTGCTTTTGCTGAGACTTTTTACCAAATTATCCGTTTCATAGAAATGACTTATCAATAATGAACAGAAAGACATGTCAGTTTCCCAAATAAAATAGTTCAAAAGTTTTGAAAAATTTTAAAAATCACATTTTCATTTTTTACAGTGGGTGAGTTCAAACTCGGTGTTGGTGTTCCGTGTAACACGAACTCCACTCCTTTATTCTAAAATTTGAACCCGCTCTGTAGTGTTGCTGTAACTTCATGTTTTCCCGGTTTTTCACGCTGGTGTAACACCAGGTTAAGCACGAAATGCCATCTCGATCCCAGTTCGGTGTTGGTGTGAAGGGGATTCCGTAAACTTCATAATTGGTTGTTACACTAATCCCTCCAGTAGGGGTTAACACCAGATCGAGTTCAAAAGCAGTGTTAGCAGCCTACATGACTGGCAGAAGGTATAGGCGAGAATTATGCGGAATTTTTAAGAAGCAAAAGGAATGAGGGTCGAGATATTGCGAACATGCGCTCGTTATATACTTTATAATGTGTTGCCTCAGCGGAAGTGCCATCATACCGTAGCTCGACTACTGTCATACCCTCGGATGAAAATTTGCGACATCAAATAATTTCATTGACTTCCAAGATGGTCAAATACAGTGGCGTGCCCAAGGGGACCCCCCCCCCCCCCCTTATTAGGGTGGGTAATCAGTGTTTCTTATGGCAACCCCCCCCCCCCATTCGGATTTTCTGGGCACGCTAATGGTCACCTCTTCATACGCCCAATTGCGTACGCTTAAACATCTTGGAGGAACATGTAGCCCCGATGCATATAGCTGATATCCCTAGTTGGCCATTTACGCAAAATATATATTAAAAGAGCACAACAGTGAGCTCGAAGCATCACAATTTATCTGTCACTCTGACCCTTAGCGAGGTACATTTTACCCCAGACACTGATATTTTTCCTGTCATACCCTACTGACTTATGGTCGATTGTAGGTTTCCCAAAACGATCAAGACCACATGGGTCTGAGAGGAAAACGATACTGTCATAATAACTTTGTATTAGCTCAATGTCACATGATGTAAACTTTTATCATCTTTAAATCTCCAATTTTTCCATAAAACCCATTTGCAGCAGGAGAATAAATAAACTCTGGACGTCCAACCAGACTCTTTTCTAGCTGGGTTCTGGATTTCATCACTTTAAAAAAATACCATGGTTTACTGACAATGATACAGGGACTGAAAACATCACTGCATTCTATCAGAAATTTCCAACTCCGATAGAGATTCAATCATTACTGCAAAACAGCCTTGAAGGTATGGGAGACAGTATTCATCGTACCTTCATAGACATAAGGAGATGATATAGGCGTAGGTATAGTTGTCGCAGTTCATTCACAATCGCAATTCATGAGTCTGCCGCTGGCTGATAGCTGCGTTATGCCTAAGCCTACAATCTTATAAGCCATGAACCTGAGAGAAATTGAAACATCGCTAAAATGACGCCGTTATTCTGGGTTTCATGTGATATAAGGTCGTTGTACTCTTTGCGTGTCATGCATCCTTTGCGTCTAAGCTGGGGCAGGCAGGCAGACGCACGAGGGCACACGCATGCCCCTACACTGGTCCACTTATCTTCAAGAGTTTTCATAAAACACAGGGCTTGCGTGTGGAACTGAGATGAGCTCAATTAAAAACACAAGCCTTGCATTTTGTGAAGTTAGTGGACACGCGTGCGGACATGCGTTTGCATGCGTGCGTCTACCTCCTGCCTAAGCAATGACGCAAAGGACACATTACACGCAAAATGTGAAACAACCTTTAGTGTTGGTGCTAACGTTTGTGTTAGCGTTAGTGTCGGTGTTGGTGTTTGCGTTAACACCGAAGCTGGTATTGGGAGAAGCCTCTCGACACTAACACCAGGAGAAAACACCAACACCTGATACGAACTCACCCAGTGTGTAATGTTTAAGAAATAGCTGATCCTCGAAGAATCCCCTTTTTAAAGATCTAGTCTTTTTTGTTTTTGTTTGTTTGTTTTTTTATTTATAATTATTATTATCCACCTGCTGGTTACCAGCCCTGTTGCTAGCCCCCCACAAAATAATTAATTGCTGCTGGAAGTTCCATAAAATGTAATTACCCTAATAGCATGCTAATGGGTCCACCTTTTTCTTTTACCAAATATGTTATCTCAAAAATCATAGTCAACTAACATGCATAGCCTGACCTATAATAAGGGCCAAACTCCGAATTTTCAAATGGGAAAAAGCACGTATCATTCCTTTAGTCCTAATTGATTAATGTTGCAAGTTTAACTTAAATTGCAAAACTTAGGTGAAAGTATGTCAAACATAGAACATCTCTGTTCGGGACTCAGGAATGGGTATAGGAAGGAATGTTTCTTGTGTTTATGGCATCCAATCTGAGCTTTATCGACAAGGATACTTCAATCATGACTCAGCGAGAGCATTGCTGCAACTTCACTGCTGTCTTCATGCATGAAGTTCTTTTATTCAATGAGGCCAACAACAACTGCGCTGCCGAACGTGAATGTGGTGAAGGCTTTCCAGAAGTGCTACATCTTAAGAAAACTGGATGGTTCAGATGATGACATTTAACAAATCGAAAGCGGTAAGGGGAGCGTTGTTTCTCTTCCCCAAAGACGAATTAGCGTATTAATATGCATACACTTAGTCTTCTTTCATTTAGACTTTTATGAGTAATTTTTTTAAAGGGGTCTAAAAAATTGAGGTCGACCAACATGTGGGCCGACATATAAAAGGGCAAATGCAGAAGTTCCTGTTATTTAATATTTTTACTTCATTATTCCCAACACTCAACAGCTTAGGTATAATGTACATGATTGGCACCTATTTCCATCTCTACCTCAAATACCTACAACAATGTAATTTTGTACCCTGATGATTATTAGTTTGAAATTTTTATTGTGCCACAGGTCTCCCTTACGGAACTCCATATTCAGATTTCATGCGGATTATTAAGTATGGCTAGGGGTGCTTAGCTCGGAATGTACATGGTGCAAATAAAAATCACTTATGGGAGACTGTATTCTCACTCTCTCTACTCTACTCACTCCCTCTATGCATTGAGCAAGTATTACCTGGCGTCTCCTTAAGCTAGGTTACGTCTCTCAACATATGCATTGATACGAACAACTTCCTTTGGTTTGTACGTGGGAAATGATCGAGTTGAGCATGAAAGCAATCTGTATTCATTAGCATTTGGGGAATCGGGAGACATATAGCGGCGGGTAGATCGCAACCTCGTTTATATTTTGAGAACTTTATTGAATGAACTGCTAGATGTCAGGCCATATGGAAGGCCTCAGCGTGCATGCGTGTGCAACCATGGACATTATAAGGACTGAACATTTTCTAAATATATTCCAAACTAGTTGGTCGCGCCTTCGGTGCTCCAATGTCTAGGATTGTGACTAAATAATTATTTTCGTAGTGACAAAAACTTAGCAGGATTTTTATCAAAGTCTATTCAGATGATTTATTGTGTACCTAACGTCAAATATCTTCATGTGTCCCTTTTTGTCTGAGTGGTAAATCTATATTGAAATAGTTCCCTCCCATTATTCGCCCTGTGAGGACATATTTCAAAAGTGGGTTTTTTTCTTTACTCAGCTATCCATCAGGTCCTTCTGCGCCTAGTTTAAACTTTCTATCGTTCTCTGTCTCGTTGGATCAAAAAAGGATCGGGAGAATGCACCTCTTGGAAAAAATGTGCCCCGAGGGGTTTTACCAAAAAGGAAAATTTTTACTGATTTTTACGCGGAGAATTACATGCCCACCAAATTTCAAGCTTATACGTTTGCCCTTTTCGCTAGTGAAAAAATATGTTTGGAACAGCAGACCCACCCAAAGACCCACCCCTGAGGGGATGCACCACAAAAGCTGAATTTTCTAAGAATTCAACATGACGTCAGTTATGCGTGTGGCAATTTTCACCTTTCTATTTCCTCCCAATTCGCTAGGACAAAAAAAAATTATTTGTAAACGTCACCCCCAAAAAACATACCCCCTGGGGATGCATCTCAAACTGACATTTTTCCTGAACTCAGTGTTTCAGTAGGCATGTTCATACCAAGTTTAAGCTTTCTATGTCTCTCTGACTGAAGTAAAAATATTTATTTGAAAACATCTCCCCCCAAAATGTGTGCCCCCAGGGCATGTACCACCGAAGTCTGATTTTTTCTGGACTCAGCATCGCAATATGTTCTTATGTACCAAGTTTCATCCTTCCATCATATCCAGAACATGGTTAGAATCATCGTTAGTTACGATCGTATATACAGGGTGGGCCAAAAAAAAACTACAGCTTTCAGCAGTACACTATACTGCGCTCACAGTATATATCTTAATGCGGTTTGCGACTTTTGAAAGAGGAATGAATAAGCTTTACAATGGTCTATTTACATTTCAAATGTCTTCAACAGTTTCAGAAATTCAGGAGCTCATATGAACACCAAGAAAAAATTACGTTGCCGCAGGACAGGACAGTGATGGACAGGGGGTGGCCTTCGTGACTGAAGGTCACATGCCGTCTCCCTCTGAGAACGCAGCAATGCAGTTTTGTTTACTGTTCGTATGAGCTCCTGAATTTCTGAAACTGCTGAAGAAATTTGAAAGGTAAACAAATAATTTTAAAGCTTATTCATTCCTCTTTCAAGAGCCGCAAACCGCATTGAAGTATACGCAGTGCATGAAATGCAGTGTATCATTGAAAACTGTCCCTTTTTTTTTTGGTCCACCCTGTATATCTGATTGGAAAGAAAGTTCTCGGAATTTCATGAACAATTATTACAACCCAGTTTATTTAAAAGCAAAATCATCTCAATCATGAATGTAATCACCATTGGCCTCTATCACTTCACGCCAACGTTTATGCAAACTATGGATACCATTCCAATAGAACTCTGGCGGCTGCGCTAC